GCAATTTCTAATCCTGACCTTGATAGAGTAAGAACACTTGAGCGTCATTAAAAAATAAAATGATGGGTCAGTCTATTCTTGTTCAACGTGTCAGGTCTGAATGATTGAGTTAGGGCGCATACAGAATCAAGACAGGCCGAGGTACACTAATCTGTAAGAATGAACCTAACTTTGCCTCTGTGGTATGACAGAACAGACTAATTAACAAGGAAAAAATTAGCTATAAATAGCTATTGTCAGTTATGAGTGCATTCTACAAAACTGGTTAATGGTCTACCCCCACTCTGTAAAATTGGATAACGAGTTATCCTTTATACTAAAAAATTGAATCAAATCTATCCCAGAGTGTAAAAATGGATACGTCTACCCCATTCTGTAAAACTGGATAAAAGTCAACCCCATCCTGTTAAATGGATAAGGGTCTACCTCATTCCATGGCACTCGCAATTAGGTAATATATAAATGCAGAAGATTATAGGTGTTACAAATGAGTAACAAACACAAAAAAGAGGGAGGAGAGATGAGGGCGATAGAATACATGTTTTCTTGATAGGAAAGACGGAGCAAACTAAACCAGAGCACCTGCCAACCAACTGCAAACTGGTTCTTCTTGGGTCACTCAAGTAAGGTCGTAAGAGAATAGGGTCAGGAGTGGTCCAGTGTTGTGTGTAGGAGGAGACTATGGCACACGTGTACAAGTCTGCCAACCCTTTGTGTAATGTTCTGTAGGTGCTTAAGTTACAGCTGTGGCTATATTGGTTTAATTAGCATTACATTTATTGTACAATTGTATTTCTAATTAAAATTGTATTTGATACTTACTGCATTGACGAGTTTGTTAGTTTTTGTCGGATCGTGGCATATGAACTGGCCTTTTGTTTGTTCTTATATATGTAGGCCTACAGTGTGTTTGTGAAGCGCCTGCTTAATTGCTTTGAGAAAACAATTTGTCTGCTTTTGGGTTACTATATATAGACTATACATGGACCGGGTCGTCAAGGACAGTCATGAAGTCATTGGAGACCGGCTGGAACTGAAAGTCCTTCTCTCTCCTCCTTTTTTTGGTGTTTGTTGCTCTCTTGTTCTTGTAACATCTGTAATCTTTGGCACTTAAAATAACCTAATTGTGTTGCAAAGGCCGTAAAACGTTTCATAAAACAAAACAAGAAAAATACAGAGAGGGACAGAGAAACATCAGAGCATGTTTCTTCACTTGGTGTAAGCACATTGCCTTTAATGCGACGATACAATTGTGTACCACCTGACAAATTAGTCTGTGTGTGGCCCCCATCCTCCCTTCGATGAAGACTAAATGCGAAACTCATACAGGAAGTTCATAAACTGTGCACGCCCACACACATGCACACTTTTTACTTACACTACACACGTGCACACACACACACACAATTGGGAGTGCAGATAAACAAATTCTGTCAATCAAAAGTCGAAGAGATTATTAACATGCATGTCACAAAGTTAAAAACCTGGAACCAAAAAAGTAATTGTTGATGTTTGACTCCTCCATCGACACAACTTGGATCATTTAGAAGACTGGCTGCTTCAACCTTTGGGTCTGTCGGGACCAAACAGGACTGAGAGAGATGCAAAGTCCCAGCAGACACAGGGAGATACACAGTTTTAAAAAAAAAAAACCTCATCTCATGAGACTTGAACTTACATCTTCCGGATTAAAGATTTAATAACATGTACTACCACTCAAGCAACTATCATCCACACTCATCCGCATCCATTAAACTCTCATCTCCCAAATCTTCCTCCATCTCACAACATTTGTAAATTTCACAGAAAAATGGGAAAAGGCTGCATGAAGAGTACAGTACAGTAAATTATCAAAAGCTGCACATTGATTAAAATCTTTAACATGAGTAGGCAAATTTCAAACAACAAAACTTTTTTTTCCCAAGTTACAGGAAAGGAAAAGAACAAAAACATTTTTTCCCACATATTCTAAGCCTACAGTACAACAAAAGATGTACCTATTTTTGTACAGCTAACATCCTAACAAAACAAAAAAGGTATAAAACTCTTAAAATCCTGGAGATTGAAACAAACATCCTTTGCAATCTGTTCTTACAATCTGTTCTTACAATCTGTTCTTACAATCTGATCAGGCAGTCTGAAAAAAATGGTGAAATGGTATAGGAAATTGAAGGACGAACCCGACTATTTCCTTGGATGCAGGGCTAATTTTATAGACCTGAAAGTACACCGCACCGTCAAGTCAAATAAAGAAAACTTCTTAAATCAGGAACGGTGCAGATCTTTTTCAGGACAAAGTCCACCACAATTCAGGAATCGGGGAGAGACGGTAGGCATAATCATATATAACGACCACACCATATTAGAACTAGTTGATATTTGACCGAAGGAAACCTACAGTGAAACCTCTGTATAACGTACTCCCTTTGGTCCCACCATTTTGAACTTCTTAGCCAAGGTACATACATATTGGAGAAAAATATATATATATCGTATATATCATCATATATCTATGTGTCACGACGTGGTGGAATCAGGCGCTCGTCAATTTTTGGGAATATGGAGTTCTTGGTATTATCATTAGTCTTGCTTTCGGTGATAAAAAATTATCCATCTATCTGCTTTAGAAGTCGAGATATTTTGGACTGAAGGAGGTGGGGGTCATCTAGTTTCAGAGAAAAAAGTAGAGAGAAAATGGCTGCCAAAGTTTGGTGACTTCCAAAACTTTGAGAGTCTTTTGAAACTGTAAATTTACATTTGTGTCTTTAATCAACGTTTTTCAGTGCTATCCACACAGGAATGTGTTCTTTAATGGACATGAAAGGTGTTGAACCAAAAAATAAAAATTCAATAAAAATCCCCAAACCAGCGGAAAATGCCAGTTTCTTCAGTTTCATTATTTTCACCACGCTGCCTCACATGCGGCCTCCACAGGGGAGGCTACCAAGAAATATTTATTCACTTTGTTAATTATCTCCCCCCCCCCCCTCCTCCAATATAATGTGGGCCTCTGTTGCAAATAGACAATAGAGTACGTCTAAGTTTCAGTTTGAGTAAAAGTTTTACAGCACTTGCAACACAAAAGGTCATTCAAGTGCCAAAAACGACAGTTACAAACCCAAAAAAGGAGAGATCCCTCCAACCACCCACAAAGCATATTGTAATTGTACGTTACACAGAGGTATATCTGGTACACGGAAACCTTCAGAGGACCACTGTCTGCCCACATGAACAGTATTTCCATCTAGAGTCAAAGGAAGAAGAGAAAGTGTGTACATCTGACACACTTACCCACTGGTTTTCAAGCTCGGCATATATAGGCTGAAAAAGACCACACTCATATTGGACCAATCAAATGGCTGGGTTTCTCAAAAGTGAGTTACAGTAACAGTTACAATATAAGTGGACCGGTCGGAGGAAAACAGGAACTTGTCGCGTCGCTTAACCTCAAACCGACATATCAGCAAAAACAGTCGGTGAGGTCAATTCTGGTCGAATTTGAGTTATAAAATGCATACCAAGGGGTTCCCCAACCATTTTGGAACAACTTTGAGAGCTGTTTCTTGTAAAAACCACTTTAAAATATTTTTCCTAAATTCATTTTCAATTTGCTTTCAGGTATTAAAAAGAGATATATGTTTTTCTCAGTTCTTTCTTTTTCACATTTTGTAATTTAAAAACACAAATCTCGGCTCTTCGAAAGCATTATAATTGAAAAATGTTAATGCGAAATTATCAGGAAGATCCACATTTTCAGAAAAGCACAAAAACTCAAAATGGCCCACAGGCGACAAGTTCCCGATTTCCTTAGACCGGCTCGCAAAAAGATAGGGGACGTTCAAATATAATCTTACGCCTA